CTAGTAGTATGTATGTATCGTTCTGCAATTCACTTAGTCTTACTAGTACTAATGTTAATAACGATAATCTCCCAAATGTATATAGTAAGATTACTTGCTACAATATATAGTAACGTTTTTGGTAATGCAGCCAGTTAAATTAAGTGCAATATAAGTAATATTACAGTAATAGCCCGAGTAGAATTCGTCATTGTTAAGCTAAGATTAGCTTCTGTCGTATCAATTTCTGTGATAATTTATGGTTAGTTCAGTTATCTTTTGTGGTTCTTAAGTAGCTTGATTTTTCAGGCTTCTGCAACTGTATTTAGTCCTTTTATAAGCATTATCCTCAATGTTGTGATAAGTAGTATTATCGCTTGAATTAACTCATGTTCTATGAGTGGTACTACGTGAAGCATCAATGAAACTTAGCTTATGATAGGATTAGAATATTAATTTGCAGCTAGAACTAGTACTTCAAAAGTTAATGGGATTAAGTTTTGATAGACTAAGCTAAGCGATTTAATTCTGCTGAAAGTGTTGGTTAAATATGGCTAGATATATTACGTAGTACTACTTTCAGTGCAGCGTCTGCGGTGTCGTATAATCATATTACTGAAAACAGTAGACTGCACATTATGCTTGTCGCATGGCTGCTGTCGACTCTATTCTTTAAATAGGGCATTCTCTTTGATGATGACACGGGAATGAAAATCAGCTCCCCACTATTAACTTCATGAAAATAGGCACCAGAATGGTCCCATCATTAAAGTGTAGAGATGACTGACATTCCAACCATTAAGATTTTCCTTTTCTTCTTTTATTCCTATTCAGTGAACAGAACCGCGATATCTAAGGATATTTAGGCATCATCTTGCAACAGATCCTGAGTTATCGGTAATATCTGCATGTACAAAAAGAAAACGGGATCCAGGATGAACTGCATTCAGGAGTTCGTTGTTATAGTGGGGATGTTATGCCCGTACCGTCTGAACGCCGTGTTGTCGACTGCGGTATGCGGCGCACGAATATGGTGGCATAGCTGGCACGTTACTGTGGACAACAAAGCAAATGTCTCACTCCCTGTAGTCACAAAGATTCTCACAACAGCCCTTACCCTGACTAGTAGTGTTGAAGAATTCGCGCTAAATTGCATCTGGCGAAAAGCTGCAGCAGTTCAAAAATAAGGTAAAATCCTGGCAGACTCGCACTTGTAAGGGCTACGAAGAAGGCAGTCTGGCGCTACCTAAACCGCTGAAATTTAGAAATCCAACCTGGATCGATCGTTTCAGGATAGAACTATTTCTAGTGGGATTAGCTGTCAAGCTGTATCTGCCACTGCTTCTTATAGTGGTTTATTAATTAATCACGTTTGCGTATTAACGACACTGGCATTATATCTGTTTTTAAAGTATAAGCTAGGTGTGCTAGTAGTATTGATGGAAACGCTAATAAGACCAGTGCTTTTAGTACGATTGATTACTAAATTAATAATCTTCTTTATTAGTAGTTGTAGTAGCAGTTTGAAGACTACACCGCGATTCGTTGATTCATTAGCTACCGGCAATCAAACTTTGTTCACAAATACTATCAGAAGAGGTTTTTTGAATCACAACGTGAAATTAATGCTATGTTAAGGAATCCTGAGTATGTACGTTTTGGTTTTGGTCTCAGACCTTATTCAGGATGTTTATTCGTCTTATCTCTTGCTGAGACGGTAGTATCGCTGTTCGCCTGTGTTCCTGCTGATGCGAGAAAGCCTTTATGAACAGGAATACATTCATTAGGGAACAGTGTTCAGAGGGTTGCAATATCTATCATAGTTTTATTCTACAGGACTTTCAGGGAGCTGGTACAGAAGAGACTTATGGTACCTGGCCTCAGTTTTTCACATTAAGGGCGATGGGGACTATCTTTTTTCATCATTGCTTTTTTGGTTGTTTGCTGCGTTGCGTTATATATGAAGAATACTACGTTGTGCTTATGACATCTCTTCCCAAATGAATTAACTTCTTCATAGATGCTCAGCTCTAAAATGTCTACTTTCAGATGCAGTCATGGTCGAAAGCAGTCGACTTCGCAGATTCTTGCCTTCAAATCGAGCCGACGAACATAAAGGCTCTGTACCGGATGAGTGTAGCGTATGCGTCGATGTTCCACGAAGAAAAGGCATTGCAGTGTTTGAAACGAGCTGCTCGAATCGCCCCTGAAAATAAGGCAATTGCCAAATTTTTCTTCGCTACCGCATGTTTGTTCAACAAATATATATATAACATTATAGCTGATCGCACGAGAGCTCATAAAATTGACTACTAATATGCAACGTCAAAACGCTGCTCGAAAGCGTCTGTACAAAGCGATGATCAGATTGCCTCCGATAGCAGAAAAGCGAAAGGTAGGCATCTGATGTCCTACATGAACCGCTTAGTTTCTGTGATTCATGAAATTGTTGCTCCTTACTGTCACACGCATGATCATTATCATTTAGGGTATGCAACGGCTCAGATAGTAGTCACAACACAACATTCTTCGCCGTGATTACTTTTTATTCCAGTATTTTAGCCTGAGCTTCAGTGTTATACTCATGTCATTTCCTAGGCATTTTTAATTTTAGAAATTATACGCATTCCGTTCAATCATTCATTCTTCACCACTGCGTTTGCTTTTGGGTCACGGAAGCAGACACGTCCGACATTGCTTCCAACATTCTCGATCCTGTACCAGACTCTGAGCTTTGGCAGAAGACAAGTGGAGTCTAGAGCATACTCCAGTTATATGTTTTCACCAGGACAGTCTTGGCCGTCCCATCGGTCTTCTGCCGGTCGATTGTACAATTAGTAGTTACTTCGCCTTCCTGGAGGCATTCGCAGCATGTGCCCAAATCATCGCTGATGTTACTTCGCAATCTGAAGTAGCAGCGGCTATACACCAAGCCTCTCGCGAATTTCTGTGCTCTGAACCATGTTGAAACACGTCAAACATTTCATGTCAGAAAGCCTATTTCAGCCGCTTGTAACCTGGATCAAAGTTTTTCAGTCATGACCCACAATGACTATGACCGTAGGTAAGCATCAGGACGAAGATCAACTTTAACACCGACTGTTTAATTTACAGACTCAGCGGTTCAGGATAGTTTACCAAAAACGCCACTGATGATTCTGATCTATAGGTCGATCTCTTCCTCCCATTTTCCGTCACGGATAAACGCGACCCAGAGGTACTTCAGCTTCTCCACCTGTTCCACTACTTCTAAGTTTATCTGAAGAAAGCACTGACAGGAGAACGAGAAAGCAGTTCAGTTTAAATACGTTCATACATATGTCGGCCACTTCGCACTCAGCTGCGAACCTTTCCAGTGACCGTTTTGGGTCAGTTTCAGGAGATGACAACAAATCAAGGTCCTCTGCATAACAGCAACCTTTTTGTCTCGTTATCTCCTACGGCGCTACTCTCATCGCCTTCACTATACATTACCATTCTATCCATGTACAGCACAAACAAGAGAGGGAACAAAACGCAACCTTGGCGAATACCAGTGCCAATGCGAAGGTTTCGACAGTTGCTCTGTCGCAACACCTGCTATCAGCGTATAGTGATTGGATTGCCCGTAGTAACTGGCCATCTATGCGATATGTTCGCAAGCATGCCCGTAGATTGTTGCTCTTGATCCAGTCATAGGCTTTCTCCAGGTCCACAAGGACCGCATGGGCGAACAACCGCGACTTCTAAAAATTCTGAAGTGGGACGAATATTCGGTCAAATGTGCTTTGGCCTGACCTGAAGCCACGTGAACTTCTTGGATCTTAACGTCACCTATTCCGCGGCATTTCCTTTCTAACACATTGATGTAGACTTTACCCAGGAGGCTCAGTAATTAATACCCTGATAATTCGAGCGCACCCTTCTTGAACCGAAATATCACAACCTGGTTCTCCAGTCCACTGGTGTCTTAACCGTTGCCACTCAGTTTGACTCATACGCATAAGTCAACACATCCTTTGTTCACCTATTGTTTTAAACTTTTCATTGCGAATTTCATTCATTGCATCTTTTCCACTTTTAAAGCTTTTCACCGCTTATCTGAATTGATCTACAGAGGTATAATATCAGACTACAAAGACTGATATCCATTCCCTGCTGCTTTTCATGCGAGTTTTCCTGCGGTTGTTCGGGTTTAAGGAGTTCATCAAAGTACTCTCTCCATTGCTGAAGAATGTCCAGCCCTGTCTTTTAAGACTGTTAGACTGCCCTTCTTTTCACATCAGAGCCGGCGAATGGTCTGCAAGAATGCTTTGCTTGCCGCCTGGAAATTTGACTCCAGCATCTCACCGAACTACTCAGACGCAGAGGATGTTTTGAAGTCAGTCTTAAAGAGTTCTCACTCGATTTTCCCGTCAGCGGTAATGACCGGGATTTGTTCAATCTGTCCTACGATGTTTGCAAGTTTCGCTGACGTGTCCCCTGAAGATAATGTTTCCCATTGGATTCTCTGGTTGCTTCTGCCACCATATCACATTGTGACCAGTTGACAGCAGCACCTCTTTTAGCGCGAACTGCTATTACAGGGCGTCGTAAGTCAGACACTGTGACTGTCAAATCGATCATCGACTTTTCTGCACAATCTTCCCTGCACCAGGTATTCTGATGCATGTTTTGAGGCTCGAAGGTGTTCATAACAGGCAATCCGTTTTTTACAAAAAACCGCATCAATTTCATGCTGTTATTGTTAAGGTCACTAGGGCTGTTCTTTCTGATCACGACTTTCTACAATTCAGTATCTATTCCTACATGCGCATTGAGGTTGCTCATTGGAATGAGGGCGGGCCTGTGTAGTTGACACGTTGCACAGAGCACACTGTACTTTCTCAAGGAATGACTCATTCTTCCTTCCAAGTTGGGTGCATAGACCTGTAACAAGGTCAGGACCTTAGTCTCGTGTAACCTGAAACATAGGATTCCAATTCCTCCGTTGACAGGGTTTCATTCAGTGATTCTGTCAGTCAGATTGGGTCGTACGAAACATCGATCTAAGCGCGTGTCATGATGTCGACACCTTAGTAGAATTTTTCATACCCGCAGTGGTTCAGGATTCCCTAACCTTGGCGTTTCGCTGACGAGAGTCCAACCGCGTCGAGCTGTTATCTTGTGGCCTCATCATCTAGATCCTGATCTTTCTCTATGTGTGAGTATACCTTCCACTTTCCGACTGTAATCTCCCTCTGTCGTTGTCGTT